GAAGAAGGGTGTTCTGTAGCAATGTTCTGAAAGAAAGTTTTTTTTTTTCCGATTTTAATAGTCTAGTTAGACGGGTCATGGTCGAACACGGTCTGAGATAATAATTAAAAACTTTTTGGATATATAAAGTGTGGAGACTCACATCATTTTTTAGGAACACTCCACACATAAAGAGTGCCCCATAATAACTAATGATAAATTGTTTATCATATTTTTCATACTTTTTATTGACATAAAGAGCTGAAATTTTTACCACATATATATCTAATCAAGATCTTTTATTTCTGAAAGTTTCAGCGCTCTAGCTAAAACTAGTGGTCAAATACGTCAATTGTCATACTCGATTTTTGCAATAGTTTCACAGTAAAAATATGGAAAAATCGAGTACGAAAATTTGTATTTCAGTCTTGACGATGTATTTGACCACTAGTTTTAGTTAGAGAGCTGAAACTTTCATACATAAAACATCTTGATTAGATATATATGTGATAGGAATTTTAGCTCTCTATGTCAATAAAAAGTATGAAAAATATAATCAAACACTTTATCATCAGTTATTATGGGATACCTTTTATATGCGTGAAGTGTTCCTAGAAAATGATGTGAGTCTTCACACTTTGTGTATCCAAAAAGATTTTAATTATTACCTCAGACCGTTTTCGACCATGACCCGTCTAACTAGACTATTAAAATCGAGAAAAAAAAAATTATCCAGAAAACTGGTAGAAACCCCACGGATTCACCCATATATGAATTTATCCAAATATATTTTTTATCTATTCAATAAATAATTATGTTATCTAGAATGTTAATTAAATATTTCTTTATTGTTTAATCAATCAATTAAATAAACGTATTTATTAATAAATATTTTTCCATATTGAAACTTATTAATCCATTTAATCAATTGACATTTTACAAATCGACTATTATATTCAATTGTTGATTAATTATTTTCATAATAAAGTTTATTTTTAAAGATAACACTTTTTTCTTTTTCTTTTTCTTTTTCTTTTTATTAATAAAATAATTAAATTATTTTTCACAGATTAAATTCTATAATAAATATATTTTAATATGTGCTCTTTTTTAATAATCTATTTAAATAAAATAATGTTTTACCTCTCGATATCAAATAAATCCATATATATGTACAGGTATATATATTAGAAATAAAAAACAATATATATATTCCATTAACTGATTATTAAATCAAGATAAACAATAAGAATAATAATATAATGTCATCATTTATAAATAATTGTTCATATGTCATTGTTAGTTTTTCAATAAATAAATATTATTTTATGATAATCAATTAAAATTCAGTCACTTTTCATTTAAATAAATCTTTATCTAACATATTATATGTTAAATAATAAATATTATCAATTTATTATTTAATATATATATATGGAAAATATTTTCAAATAAATAAATAATATTCAAGAGAAAACAAACAAATCAACTGAAATAAAATAATTCTATTAACGATATATAACAGACAAAATCGATCTATTTATTTACCTTGACGTTATTTTCGATGTTTATAGAACAGTGAAAATATTCTGAGAAATGATATAAATTTTCTAGATAAATATCAACTTTAAAGATAATCCCAATATAATATCAAGATAAATCTATTAGAAAACTATTGATGTTTCGTTAAGAATCAATGATGTTTAACATGAATACTCATTTTTATTCAATCATTATCAACAATAAGAAAATCTATACTTAATTGATATTACTATTATTATATTATAGAAATAAAATAAATCTTTAATTAGTTAATATCATATGAAATATTTCTAGATGGATATAAGCTAGATTTTACCTCACTATTTATAATAAATAATAAATACTTTACTTTTTCATAAAAGCTAAATATTTTAAAAGGTATAATCAAACTCGGATTCTATTTAACATATATATATATATATATATAGAAATTAACTTACAGATAGAGAAAAGGTATATTCATTAAGGAGAATATTCTATTGAATTCTATTATCGATATAAATCATCTTTTCGACATAAAACAACAATTTGTATTGTAGAATAATCGGATCAAATATTAAATAAATAATAAACATTGAAATTATTAACATTTTACATTTACAAATCAATTCAACTAAAAAAACAAAAACAAAAACAAAAACAAAAAATGATTTTTTTCAAATAAATAAGTTATAATAAATCATCTATAACTAAGTGAAAAACTATAAACTTATTCTTAACATACTGAAACAGAAGTCATTTTAATATAGAATTATACAATAAGATTTAATTGATAATTAATTATCATTAATAATATATAATACATAGATATTCTTCAATAGTTTTTCTCTTATATAATCAATATATCTGTGATATAATCTGTATATCAATTTATGTCTGATTAAAATATTTATATTAATTTATTTATTATCTCTTAGAATAAAAACTTGTCGATTTATAATATTAATTATTTACATTGATTTTGTAAACAAGTATAACAAAAACAATAGATAAATATTAGATTTTGTTTTGTTTTGTTTTTTAGGAGAGAAAAATTTCAATATAAAATGATTTGTTTCTTCAATTGAAATAAGTTGATGAAAATCTCCTGTCAAACAATAGTATATGATTCGAATGTTCTCGATATAGAATAATATCATCTTAATCATCATAAAAATACTTTTTTACAATAAGCCATAAATATACTGGTTAATCGTCGATTATATTTACGACAACTAAATATACGACATGCACAAATATATTCTATTTTATTCTCGTTTATAATCGTCAATAATTGCTCTTTCCAGATTGATTAACAAGCATCATAAGATTAAATCAAATTAAATTTTATTTTATTTTATTTTAAGATATATTTACTTGAGATTTTAAAATTGTTGTTTAGTAATCGATTATTAATTATTTATTCAATACGAATTCTAATATAATATATATTGAGAAGATAATTATTGTTTTCATCTCTATTTTATCATGTTTTCAATATTTGATAGATAGAAGTTTTTTTTTTATTTTAAAATACTTTATTTATTTAAAAAAAGAGAAAAAAAAGAACCATTGAAATAGATTAATTATTTGTAAAAACAAAATAAAAGAAAATTTAATGAATAAATAATTGATAAATAGAATAAATGATTGAAATAAATATTAAATTGAATGAATTTGTTGATGAAGGTTGACAAGCCGGTATAACTATTGATCAACTCATTCAACATTTATTTCGATATTATTTTATACAAACTTCTAAACATTTTCTTCCTCCATTAAACCAACATTTATCTATATTATAAATATTATCAACAAGTTTTATATCACAAGGTTTTCTATGACAACATCGACATCGACATCGACATTCATCTCATTTTATCATTAATTTATTTAATAATATTAATAATATCATTTTATAATAGATATTCATCTTAATCAATGATAATTACTCACTTTTTTTTTTATTTTATTAAAGAAAATAACTTTCGTTTCATACCAACAATATATTTTTAGTTAAATATATTATATATAAATATTTTTCATGATTGAAGTGTTTAAAAATGTAATATATTATTTTCTATAGATAATATCTTCGATTAATAATATTGAATATATATATAAGTTAACTTCTTAAATTACACTAGGAAATATTTATTATTGAATAATAATATTATATTAATATTGATTACCTATATACTATTGTCAATATATAATATATAAACTAAGTTAACATAACAATTATTATTCATATTTATTATTGATAGTAGATATGAAAAAACAAAAGTTAAATTAAAGTTAACTTAATTAAATATATATGGAATTATTTATAAAAATAATATTTTAATATTATTATCATATTAATTGAAGGTTATTAGATAATATTATTTAACAGAAACATCGATTGTTGACATTGAAACAATAAATAAAAAATAAAAAAATAAAGAATTTTATTTATTTTCTAATATCGATTTATGTTTTTTAAATTTATTCTCGAATTTTAATATATTCAAACAAGAAATCAACCGTATTAGAATCTTTCAACAATATTTTATTCATCATAAAACATTTTTTAAATGACTATATTCACACACATATATATATATATCAATTTAAACAAATATTTATCCGATCTTTTGTTTTGTTTTGTTCTTGTTTTTTTTTTAAAAAATTTAATCGAAACAATATTTAACTTTTAATGATGATTAACTTTATTTAAATAATTCTATTTGATTTTAATTTAATAAAATTTATCTTAACACATTTTAAAAAATATATTTTTATTATTATTTTATTTTATTTAATTAAGAAAAAATAATTAAAATTGATAAAAGATATTAATAATAAAGAAAATATTTTATTTAATGATTATTGACAGATAGTCGAACTAACATTTATCATCATTTGACAAATCAACGATTATTTTACTATTAAACAAAATAAATCATTTCATTTTTCAATATATATATTATTTCAACAGATTCATTCAAATGATTAAATCATTAGGAGATTTATATTAATCAGCTTTTTTATTCGTATTAAAAAATTATTATTCTCATTGAGGAAAAAAGATTATGTTTGACAAATGATCACTCTTTAGATTATTGACTAACATAGATTTGAATGATCTTAATTAAATAATAATCATTGATATTCGACAATATATTCAAAAAACACTAAAGAATACATTTGGTTTTTCTCATCAAGAAAATCTTCGAATTGAAAATAGAAGATTTTTTTGTTACCGTGTTAATCGACTTGGACTTTTACAGATAATATCTGAAATGTATATTGTGTTTTCGATGACACTCTCATATATAATCAATATGAATTAAATCATATAAAACCGATTGTTTTCAAGTAGTTTCGTTTAACCAAAGATCATAAAATAAAAAGAACTATTATATATTATCTATAACAATAAAAAAATTCTACTATAAAATAACAAGAGAAAATAAAAATCTCATTTTATAAAACAAAAACAAAAAAAAATCTTAAAAATGAGTCAAAATTATCAGCGTAAACAAGTTCAAAGTGATCGAAGAAAATCTACAACATTACCTATATTTATTCTTGAACAAGAAGAAAATAATAATAATCGTCGTTTAAGTCTTTGTCCTAATAATCAACGTCGATTATCAACTATATCTCAATTATATTTACCTAATGGAAATGATTATCATCCTCAACAACATATACCAGCAACAGGTATAGAAAATCAACAAACAACTTTTTTAATAACAACAGATGATAATAATAATGATAATGATAATGATAATGATAATGATAATGATAATGATAATAATCTGCAAATTGAAAGAAGATTATCAATAGTCCCATCTTTTTATTCAAATTCTAATCAATATGAACAAGATAATTTAAATAAATATAAAAAACGAATTTTATTTATAATTGAACCAATAATAACTGGTATTTTACTATTTCCAATATTAGTTTTATTTTGGGAAACTGGTTGGAATTTAACTTTAATTTTTTTAAATATTTTAAATCAATTCGCACCTAATTTACATTTAGATGAAATAACACAAGAAGATTTCGAATCTTATACATGGCAATCATTATTATTTCCTTATTTAGTTGTTCAATTTCTACTTTTAGTTTTTTATATATTTCAAGATATTATTTATAATTATTTCAAATATAAAATATGGATTATAAAAACAATATTATTAAAAATTCATATATTTATAGTAGCAACAATTTATATTCTTCAATGGGAAATGGTATGGACAATATGGGATCAATTTACACCACATGAATGGTATTTTGAATTTACATTATCATTAGCATCATTATTTGCATTAATTGTTTTTATTGGACATTTATCTGATTTAGTTTGTTCACCTTTTCTTTTTAGTTATGATTCAATTGAATATTGTATTCATTTTGGTTGTCCTTTACTTACAAGACAAGTAAGATTAATTTTTGTTTTTTAATTTTATTTATTTATTTATTTATTTAAAGATGAAACCATGGAAAATAAATTTAATTAATTTTATTCTATATGAAATACTTATATCAAATTTATCAATAATAACATGGCGTGGCTTTTATCATTTTCTTGATAGTTATTTCTATCCGAACAATTTAACTATGTCAGCTGGACTTTGTATATTAATTGGTTATATTATTTATTTTCCTTTAATGTATTTTCAAACATATTTAGAAGAATTAAATATAAAATATGATTTTTGGACATTTATTTCAATAAATTTTCCTCAATTTTATCGAAATATTCGTCATTTATTAGCATTTTTATCATGTGTATTTGTTTGGCGTGGTTATTGGCTATTATATGATGAATATATATATATATATGATGATTATTATAAAACATATTTAGTATTTTATATAGTATCATTTTTATTTTTAAGTATTATTCAAACAGCATCATCAGTAAATGGTCCATTGAGTAATATGGATGATGAAAATAATTTTTTTCCACTTTATCCACATTGTTATTTATCAATTGTTCAAAGAAAATTTTCTCAACTTAAATTTTTTAAAGAAAAAATTCAAGAAGAAGATACAAAACTTTAATTTTAAATAAATTAAATAGAAATGAAAAAAAAACAAAAAGACAATTCTGTTAAAAAATAAAAATAGTAAAATGATTTATTAATTATGTCAATGTATTATTAACAAGAATATTTTTTTATTTTAATTAAGCATTAATTATTTAACAAAAAAAATAAAAAAGAAAACAAATATTTTTATAAATATTATTTCTTTTTATTTCTTTCTCAATTAATTTTATTTTTATCAATAAAATCTTAATCTTTGATAAATTTAATAATAAAAATAAATTATTTATTGTTTTTTTTTTTTTTATTCTTCAATATTAGATTGATTTATTATCTCTGATATTATATAATTAACAATAGATATTATCTCAATTAGTTTTATCTATCTATAGAACTTATTTTATATAATATTATGAAATTTTATTTTATTTAGATGAATCAATATTTATATTGATTATTAATATAAATATATGTTCGTTTATATCGTTGGTATACGTCTATTCGTAGATATGTTAGGTTTATTTTATAGATTGTTATAGATTTCACTTGTTTTATTTCTCGAAGAAAATTGAATAGCGGAAGATTACCAAAAATAAGAATCTTTCTCCTTATCATGTGATATCTTTGTGTAACTATCGTTCCCGTATCTCAATGACTCTATCGGTAGTTCTACAGGTAACACACGTCTCTCACCTGCATAGATAGCTATGCCCTGCATCGATTACGAAAATTTGTGTATTATCAAATATGTCTCTTGATAGGTTATCAAAGGTGTCTATGCATTAGAAAGTTATCAACTTTTCTCGCAGATCGATAGACAGACTCAAATTTTTCAGGATAGATTACTAATTCACTTAGAAATCCGACAGTACGATCAGAAAAAAATCTTCCAGAGTTTCTTTGATAAAGTCTACAGAACCGAATTGAAAAAGGCGCAAAATATACGGGATCAAAATGCTCGATTTTGCAAAAGTGAAAATATGTATTGTTAGAATTTTAGAGCATTGTTGGCTCTGCAATGTGACATGTTTTTTAAACTAACAAAATGAATTTGAAATGCTCTACTGATGTATCAACTTTCATCTTATAGAATTATCTAACATAAAACCTAACAGATATTCTTATTCTTTTTGCAAAAATAGCTACATGACATAACACCAAATGAAGAGTGCTCTACAATCTCCTAGCATATATTATTTTCACTTTTGAAAATCGACAATTTTTATGTTGGTTATGCATTACGAGCTTTGGGATTTGATTTCTAAGACTATTAAAGAAGCTTTGGAAAATATTTCTGATTTCACTGTTCGACTTTAGTGATGCTAGAAATTTACCCAAAACGTTTTAGCCCATTTATCAAATGGTGAAAACACGTGCTTATTTTGTAGCCTATGATTCTCTTTCTATCTTCGATAAAATTTACAACGCAATACAAAATGGTCACTTCTATTTATTACTTTTCCAAATAGTGAGACAGAGTTACCTTAAACGCACAATTCTCGTCTAGACGTGAGAAGCTTAAGGCAATTTAAAGTTAAGTTATCTAGTTAAATAAATTTTGACGCTGAAAGCTAAATTTAACCGATAAACGTTTTTCAGCTTGTAGAAAGATATTTGTGTTCATATGATAATTCTACTATATTTCATGCGAATCGAGATGCCTTACTACTCCCGAAATTCAGATACACTTTTTTTCGAGCTTCTTCTTTTAAACGGTGTTTCAAGATAGGTTTTATATTCTTTAACGATCTGAGTTAACTGAAAAAATGTTGAAATTTCTTGATCTATGTGTATGTACACGATTCGAAAGACTTCTCAAGTTCTTTTATCAGTGTAAAGTTCAATAATGACTTATTAGTTTTTCGACCAGAAAAGTGAAAACAAAAATGTTTCTGAAACCGTAACTCGATCGAAAAATTGATGTGCATAAAAATAACAATAGTTGACACGTAGAGATCTTGTATCATACCTGAAATTGATTGATCAATTTGTGTTGCATGAAAGAGATTGACAGTTTATTGTCAGTTGAATTAGAAATGTCCGTATCTATAAGATTAGCTATAATGTAGCTCACCTTCGATTATACTTAGTCAGTGAGTATGTACTTGCAATTTTGATCAGTGATCGAGTTCGAGTGTAGAGTCATATTAGATATCTCAAGTCCTGTACATATGTGCTGCCTAAATTGAAGTCTTATATGCATACCTTAACATAATTGTGACGAGCTTCTTATTGAACTTGTGGTGAATTAAACATATTCTGGAGGTGTGAGAGCCTATTCATATAAAAAAGAAAAAAAACAACAAGGAAAAGAAGGATCGGTGCAGAGCCTTTGTAATAGTATTATCGATTTATTCTATTGATAGGCGATAATTGTTTTTCGTACATCATTGAAATATTTTAATGAATTTTAATATGAAAATGAAAAAATAATCTAATCGAAGTTGATTATCAAAATAATATCTCAATAAATTCTTTTATTAAAAAAACGAAAAACTGTTAGAGAATTATCTCAGTCAAGGTTCACGATTGTTTTTGGAAGTGGGGCCAAAAAAAACTTAGCCTCTTGTTGCAAAAACTAATTACTCTACTAAAACTCAAAAGCTCTTCGTTAATAAAAAACAAAAAAAAGAATAGTAATCACGACTAATTCGATAGAAAAGCTTTTCAATATAAAATTATTTCGAAGCGAAAAGTAGAAATGTTTTAATAATTAATCATAATCAGTGTATAATATGCATAAATGAATATATGACAATGATGACACGTATCAGCAATAATAGAATTGACTTTACTTGAAAAGCTTAAGAGAAAGCATTTTTGGTTAAATTTCATTCCAGTAAATGCAAAAGTTTCTCGTATTCCTTCTAATCGGTAAGTCTGATCTCAATTGATAGAAAAAGTGATGAGTTAATATATGTTATTTATAAATAATAATTGATCTATTGAATAGAAAATAATCTGTTGATTATTGAATAATGTTTCTATCATATTTCAAATCTGAGGAAAAAAACAAAAATTTTTTTTAATAAAAATCAATTCGAATAACTTGTTTAAAATATTTTCTTGTTCAATGATAATTATTATTGAAATATTAATGAATAAATTTAAAAATAAAATCTGAATAATGATATAAAGATTTAAAAATAAATATATAATATTATTTTAATTCTAAGAATAATTAAGTTAAATTAATTATTCAAATAAAAATAAATAATTTAAATCAATTAACTTAATATAGATTATAAATAAATCTCAATTAAATCTATCAAAATTAACTTTAATTAAACAAATACTTATTAATAATTTATCTCGAATAGATTTAATTAATTTAACTTGAATAAATATCGAGATTTGAATAAAACTCTGATTAATCGTCATCAGGGTTGGAACCGGTCCGGCCGGACCGGTTGAAGAAATCAACCGGGCCGGTAAAGACCGAAATTTCACCGGTTGAAATTTTTCAAAAATCTTCTTTGTTAATCCTGTCTTTGACCATAAAAACTAAGGTATGACATGTTTTTTCTGTCAGAATAGGTAAAAAAGTGCTCAAAACATATATTATATTAATCGTTTTTCCTGAAGTTCTCTTTAAAAAGATTCATTATGATGAGCGTCTTTTACATGCGCCTTAAACTATTTCATATTTGGAGCGATTTTTTCTAAAAATCGGTTTTAAAAAAAAAATTTGACATTTTTCCACCGGTTGGACATGTGATTCCAACCGGCCGGTTTCCGGCCGGACCGGACCGGTAGGATTTTTCAACCGGCCGGACCGGACCGTTTTAATATTTCTCAACCGGTTCCACCCCTGATCGTCATTGTTGATAATTAATATTATATTTAAGATAAATATAAAGTGTTTATCTGTTTGTTTTATTTTTGAAAAAAAAACGAAAAAAAAAAAAAAAAACAAGGTGCATAAATGATAGATAATGTCATTTGAAGAACAAAAAAAAAAAAGTCAATGTTCGAATAATAATAATAATAACTAATATTGAATGTTATTCTTGAAGAACTGATTGAATTTTAAGAATTTTTCCTGCAGGTGAAAAAGTATATGTTGTTGCATATTCATGATTATTATAAGAAACAGTTGCTGTTAAGGTTTTTTTCTTATGATCCTCTTCTCCAAAATCAGTTACAACAAAATTAACAGATGGATGAGCTTCATGTTCCATTGAATAATATTCTCGAGCTTCACAAATATTTTGATAAGCAACTTTTGAATTTTCAATTTTTTCAACATTTTCTTCTAATACATTATCAAGATGATGAACATGACGAGCATTAACTATTTTTGTAAATTGTTCAACTGTTTTCTTGTATGAATCAGACATTTTTTAAATAAAATTGTTTGTTTATTATAATAAATGTATTATATCAGTTAAATCTAAAATAAATAAGAATATTATATCGAGAATTTTTCGAAATGGTTAGAATAGAAGAAAAAGCATACTTATTTATAGTTTGTCTCGAATGTACCTCGATTGTTAAACATAAAAGTTTTTTTTGCTTTCTCTTTCTCTTTCTCTCTCTCTTATTACATAACAATATCCACGTCTTCGTTTTTCATTGGTGAGATTTCTCCGTGTGATGAATCATCACATTTATTATAATAAAACTATTCATTAATGCATATTTCGTTGAACACCTTCAATAATGATTTTTTTTTTTCTTTTTCATAATTATCTATAAAAACAATTTTTAATATTATTCTATTATTGTTAATATTAATTTTTTATTGTTTGGTCAGTATTGAATATAAATATAGATATATAGATGATGATAATAAATGTTAGTGTCCTCTATATTCTATTTGTTAAATTGTTATTATAAATAAATAAATAATATTATTCTATGGTTAGTTATTAATAATAAATTGAAATTCTATTAATTATTTAATTTTTATTTATTATTATATAGATGTCAATAGGAATAAGTCTATTTTCTATTCTATTGATAAAAGAAAGAAAATCTCTTTTCTTTTTCTTTTTCTTTTTCTTTTTGTGGCTGAATGAATATTCTCGAAATAGTATGTTATATGCAATGCGTTAAGGTCAAGAACATAAAATAAGAAAAATCTAGATCAAATATACGTCATCATTTAAAATAACCTTGTCGATAGATTTAGATTTTTTTTGTTCAATAAGATTTCTATTAAATCGAAATTGATTAAATCGCAGTTATGTTTGATAGAAAAAATCTATTTGATTTGATTATTTTGTTCCTTTGTATAGATAATATATAAGATAAATAAATATATTATGATGATAATAAACAAAAAATATCATTAAAATAGTTAATTTATCGAAATTCGAATTCAATTTATTAAATAAATTATTTTATTATAAAACTAATATATATAAAAAACAAAAGAAATTCTTAAATAAATAATCCGATATATTATTGTCAAAATCTCTTTATCTTTATCTTTATTTATTTGACTATTTTAGATATACAATCAGAAAAATGTTCTTTTTTTAAATTGTCTTTATGATTCTTTTTAAAATAAAATCTCGAGAATAAATTCTTTTTAGATGTCGAACAAAAAACAAAAAAAAATGAATCAATATTTAATTATTATTTTTATTAAAATAAAAAAAAAAACTAAAATTAATCTCGATAGAATTCGAAAAGTTTGATAATAGTACCTTTACGAATATGTTTCATTGATTAAATCAATATCAAGATGTTTGAATAACATTTTTTATTTAAAAAACAACGAATTATTTATAGAATATATTTTCCTTTTTATTTTTCTTATTTTAATTGAGAAAAAAAGGTCTTATTAACAAACGATAAATAAAAATCTATGAAAATAACCAAATAGCAAGAGACTTTTCTATAAATTTCTTAATAAATACTTTCAAGAATATTAAATTATTGTTTTTTGTTTTTTTTTGAATATATTCATTTGTTTGTTAATATATATAGACAAATAAAAATAAACAAGATTATTATATGAAGAAGTTTTATTAAGAAATATTTTATTTAAAATATATATTATTCAATAAAAACAAGTCAAATTTGTTTTTTAAATTTGAATTTATTCATATCTGATTATTTAACTTCGATTAATCATTGACTAGAAAAACAACAACAACAACAACAACAACCAAATCTTTATTATTCAATAGGAACAATTTATTTCAGATAAAATATACTTTTTTGTCAATCAACTATATTTCAACTATCGAATTTGTTTTTTCTTAATATTTATATTAATCTCTTTAGAATAAAAACTACGAAAATAATCTAGTGACATTAAAAAACAAAAAAACTTGTTCTTAACCTTGTTTATAAATCTAAAGAGAAAATGAATAAAACTCTACTCGATTTGAAAAGTAACATTGATAATTTCATCGGTCGATTAATTTCAATATATTAAAAAACCTTGAAATATACATATATATAAAACTTGAATTCAACTTTCAATTTTCAAACCGAAAGGACTATCAAAAATCACCACACACACACACATCATCGGAGTAGATGTGGGTGCCGCGAAAGGACTTTCAAATATGATTCAAAGTTGAAACTTAAAAATTGAAAGTTGAAAGTTGAAATTTCAATTGAATTCAAGTTTCAAGTTTGACACTATTGATTATTAAAAAGATTCGATGATAAATAAAATCTCTTTGTGTTTGTTGGCATTTTTTTTATTTTTTCAATGTTTATCTAAGTTATTAAATAAAACACTGTTAGACTATTTTCATAACATATAGATACTTACCTTAGATTATTATTTAGAAAACGAACTTGAACGAATATTGACAATTCAATAATAGATTAAACATTTTGGTGAAAAGTTACTATGAACTTGTGTATAGACTTTGTTCTATATCTGTTGTCTTTTCTGATTGATTCTATTGAAAAATTTCTCTAGAATATTGGAAAAATATCTGTGTGTTTGTTTTATTCGGTGAAGAAGAATTGTGACAAGTCAAATGAGAATAATTAATCAATAAATAGTTAAATCGAGCTAGTCGATCATTAAGAATATTTTCAATTTGAACTTATTCAATAGGATTTTTTCCACTTGATTTTTTTTTGTTTTATTGAAGGGAAAAATAGTCGAATAAGTTCTAAGCTGAAACAAGACTTTATAATCAGTATGTTTTTGTTTATAGAATGAATTCTAATAATAGAATTTGATTTAATTATTTTCTAAATTATTTTCTTCACAATTAATGTTCTATATTAAAGTTTAATTAATAAAAATAAGTTATGTTAACAGAAGATGTATTAACACCTTGACGTTCAGCTTAAAGTCTTAAATAAGGATCTTTATAAATCATTAATGATGATGCACTTATTATTAAAACAAGATAGCATAAATATTGAGACTGGTGTAAATATTTAACCATGTTTATATAGTGGATGTTATTTAATAAAATAACCAACTATTAAAATAAATATTCCACCAAGAATATTTTCAGTACACATTAATAAATCAGTTGACCATTATGGTCTAATTGTATATGTACATTAAAGTGCACATTAAAATGAAACTGGTAATTATGGTTATAGAATAAAACCCATTAATCAATTTGATAGAGATAATCGATTAAATTGATTTGGTCGAATAATTAATATAAAGAAAATGGCTGATGCACAAGCACCAATTAATAAAAATTTTAATATAAGACGATAAGCATCAGTTTTATCCATAATAAAACCTGCTAAAAATGCATTTAAAAGACCAGCAATAATAATAATAATAGCACCAAATATTCCAGCATCTTCACTTGTATATATACTTGGTTTAATTAATTGTTCAATTAATGTTGTTATTGTATTAAATAAAGCTAAACCAAGAGTAAAACAAAATAAAAGAATTAAATAATGACGATTTTTAATAAGATTAATAAAATCTTGTTTTAAATTAATTGATTGATGATGTTCTTAAAAAGGTGATGGAGGTTCAGAACGAAATAGATTTATTATTAATAATGTTTTTAATGCAGTAAAAGTAGCTTCACTTATTAAAAGAATAAAAAAATATTTTAATGATCGATTATCAGTTATTATTAATGATGGTAAATGAGAACCAATAGCTAAACCTTTAACAAAACAAAAAGAATTTTCACAATCTTAATTTAATTTATTTTTGAAATTTTACCTAATGGATTAGCCATTGAACAAATAGATGTTGCTATATCACATTGAGAAGGTGAAAACCAACGGGCAACAAATAATGCTGTAGAATTTAAAAAAAAAGGTGCTACAATTGCTGAAAATATTTGTCCAATAATTAATGGTAAATAACTATTATTTAATTTAATTAAAGATAATAAACGAATAAATATTCCAAGATTTAAAATAGTTCCAATAATAATTGTTATACGCATTGACAATTTTTGTCGATAACCATATTGATAATATTGTACCAAATGTATAAAGAAATAAAAAAACAATAGTTAATACATTTACTTCTGCTGTTGTTACAGAGATGTCCATCGCGGCAGCGGTGCGGCAGCGGCAGGTTTTTTAAAAAATCACCGCGGCAGCGGCGCGGTAGTGGCAGGTTTTTTAAAAGGCCATCGCGGCAGCGGCTGGATTTTTTTGGGGAACATTGAAAAACTGCATGAATTTAATAGAATTTCAGGGTTTACAAATGAAACACCCCGAGATTGGATGAATCTGATGGACTAGTACCAATATCTCTGGTCAAATATAGTCGCAGCAGTGAAATTAGAAACACTTTTTTTGTAAACCGCCGCGGCGGCACGTTCATTTTATAATTCATCGCGGCAGCGGCGCGGCAACGTTGTTTTTATAAGTCATCGCGGCGCGGCAACATTTTTTTTATAAACCGTCGCGGCGCGGCTGCGGTGCGGCAGCTTTTTTTTTCTAAGTCCGCGGCGCGGCAGCGACAGATTTTCAGCCACGATGGACATCTCTGTGTTGTTATATTAAAAAATTTCGATGTTTGGGGTTCAATAGGAGCAAAAGTCATAGCACTTGTTGCATTAGCAAATGTTGTTAATATATAGACAATCAATTGAATCTATCGTATTTTATATACACAATAATGTTTTACTTCTGTTACATCGATTTTATTGTTTTATTATTATTAAATGTATTTCATTTAATATGTCTTATACTATCTACTCTTATTCTATTCATTAGATTTTTTTTTTATTAAAAAGCTTATCTTTCTTTTTTCGTCTTTTATTTTTCTAACATATTTAAACTAGATTAACTCTTTAATATTTTTTTATAATATTAAAGAGAATAAAAAAACAAAAAGTTCAAATTCAAACTTATTATTTTATTTTATTTTATTTATATTAATCTTGTAACAAAAACAAAATTCTTATAGAAAGATGATTTTTCTTCTCATGTAAAATAATAAACAATTGAATGATAAGTATAAAAAAAGAAAGAAAAAAAAGCTTTTGAGAAGATATTTTATAATAGATTATAAAAAATTCCGTTTAATAAAAATCAAACTCTCTTTTGTACGATAACTTATAAAAATGTTATTATTTAAAAAGAACCGAAATACTTATTTATACTTATATATAATAGAATATAGAAATTCATTTTTATTTAATAATAACTAAACTATATTTATATATAGTTAATAAATAGTATTTTATATGTCATTTCTTTTTTGTTTTTTTTATCAATAATTTATTTCTCATATGTTTATTTGATTATCTGACATTATGTTGAGTTATTTTTATATCTTTAAAAAGTTGTTCATATTAAAAAACCAAATTGCTTCTGAATCTTTCTATTAAATATTGATCTTCTATATACTTTTTTCATTTGTATTATTATTTTTGTTTATTTTATTGTTTTATTTGTAAAATAAAATATTGAGATTAATTCAATCATTTTTGAAAGATAAAATAAATATTTTTCAGTTGACTGAAATCTTTTGATGATCATATAAATTTCCTCTATCATCAGCACAAAATCCAGTTCATCCAATAAAATTCTTATAGAGATATTGCATTTCGTTTCGATTAATCACTTTTTAGACACGATGTACATTTAATACATATAAATAAGTTCAAAAAACCAAAATACAGAAATAGATAATGTCATACCAAACTGAATAACTATGATTTATATTAATCCAATAGGAAGAGAAGAATAAATGATGATAATTAAATTAATAATTGAGTTATAGAGAGTGTAGCAATAAACATTTTTATTTTATCAAAATTTGAGAATTTATTTTTTCAAATCTTTGCTGAGCGCACTCACCATCATCGTCAAACACTAACAACAAAATAAAATACAGATAACTATAACATATCAAGTGTAGCAAAATTTTTACAAAATTCTCTATAGAAAGTATTTGCCTTAATTTAAAATAATAAACTGAAAGGTTTTGTGGATCGAATAATGTGCTTATATGAATTCTATCTATATCTCATATCTGTTTTTATTTCACTATTCTGAATTCCTCCTGTTATAAACAGTTTCTTAAAAATCTAATTATTAGCAATACGATTAGCTATTACTGCTCTTTCAAAATAATTTGTTTACGTTCGATTCTGATTTGAAGAAGTTTCAAATTCGGAGTACCTCTTCAAGTTGATCATGTATGGCTAATTCGTTCTCCGTGGTTTGAGACCAATCAAAGACAAGTCCCACACCAGTACACAAAATTCATAACATCACGTATGAATGCCGCGGAACCCGAAAACACACGAAAGCACACAAAGACCCACACAGTTGGCGTAGATTCTACAGAGCGCGACAATATAGAGACGCATACGAAACCCACACATTAGGTATGAGTGCCATGGAGCTCACAACCGCAAGACAACAAGTATGCCTCCGACTTCAGATCAAAATATGCGAAAACTCTGTGAAGTGTAAAATTTGAAGACTTGAATTTTAAATTTCAGTTGAACAAATTATGAACGAATTAAAGATTTCTACACTACTGTACAATTTAATGAATAATCAATCCACTTGTTGATTTTTTTTTCTTTTAGTTAATAAATTCGAAATCCAATTCTCAATAATTTAACATCGAATTGAGTTGAACATTGTCTTGTGAAAGAATAAAATATGGGACATATTAACATCAAAACCGAAGGCTTTCGAGAGATCCAATTTATAATATCGTTGCTTTTTCCATTTGCGATTCCGTCTGGAAACAGAAGATAGAAAAATACGGCACAAACTCGTTCCCTACAAGATATAAAATTTTATTTAAAAACCATCTTTCTGTTTTTTTCTGACATCAATAAAAAGAAAACAAAGCGATTTATACTTAGTTGACCGGTGGCGTGTTGAATCAAATGAGACAATATATTTCACTTGCTCACGTAACAAAAAAATGTAGATATGTTTACAAAAAAAAGGTTTTTAGACATTCAAATGAGAGCATTCCAATTCAAGATGCCACTATCAAATGATTTTTTCAGTTAAAGTCAATTGAATATATATCTTTTTCCTACGAGCTTTATTATTTTGGTATTGAGAAAAAAAAAATAATCTTAGTAGTTTACAAAAAGAGCAACACTGAAAATGTTCCACAATTTAAAAAAGATCTTCTTTTTCAAGAAAATCTACACCTTACAAGGGTTCGATATTTTCCTCCATCTGAAAAAAGGCTTCATTAACGCTAAGAATCAGTGATTCACGATGAGTAGTTTACACTAACAAAGTACGTGTAAAACAAAAAATAGTTCAATTTGAGATTCGAATTGCTGAAGGCTAGAAGAACACATACACTAGTTTCTCGTTAGCTTTTATATAAGTGCAATAAAGTAGGTAAAATTACAAGCAAATGAGAATTTATGATAATGAATCAATAAAATATGATAAGCAGTTGCAAGATTTGTGAAAAAGAACGAACAATGTACACTAAGCTCTTCCCCCCCCCCCCCCCCCACCGTTTTAGAAGCTCTCTGAGTTTCATATTGCTCTTGTTGCATCTTTAAAAGATAAACAGTATGAAATGTTATCTTTCAGCGTTACCTTAAGAAGAAAATATGCATTACAGTATCATTTTTTTCTCTGTGTTCCTTTCATGAAGGCAGTGATCTACTGAATGATAAAATGGTTTCATGTATGGTCTGTGCATTCATTATAATTTTCAACATGTATCATTATAATATGGTGAAAAAGAAAGACGTTGAATGGCTAGCGCATATAGACAAATGTGTGTCGATCCAATTGGATATGCAGTATTCAGTACACATTTCTTACTTTCGAAGGATCTTTGTATTAGCTAAGTGTGAGACTGTGGGAAAGTTGCTTTTCAATCAAGCTATGATACGATTAACCTGTGTCGAGAAGAATTCTGCTTGACTATAAGTTTGATCCTATTATGCTCCACCCTTCTTTATTGTAGCTTGATGTAGATAGAAAAGAAAGACAGATACGAATTATAGTGTATTTGAAAATGACTCTTTTCACTGGATTTTTCTTTTGTCTTCCTGTACAGAAAAGATTGTCTTTTGGCTTTTCACACAAAACTTGGAAAAACTTGTTCTAAGAATGTTTAAAATTATCGCAACTAATTATGCAAAAACATTGAAAGTATAACTTTATTGTATTTTTGAAAATTTTGAGCGGAAATTCTATTAGAAGCTCCCTACAATAGAAGCCCTCTCCGAAAACTTTGAATGCTTTGACACTTTAGAAGCCCAGGAAGCTTCTAAGATGGGAAGGAGGGAAGCGAGGAGGAGGTTGAGTGATACTGATACTATGTGCAAGTGCAGAAGGCCATAAAAGAAAGAATGTCATTAAGAATGTAACTGTTGTTTTTCTGTTCGATTTATCCGGAACTTGAATAAGTTCCTGTATTTGTATTGAATGTCAGTGTTAATGTCGGAGTGTTTGTCGTCGATGAACCGTATGGTATAGTTACTGAATCAACAGAATATGTTATACTGGAGCCGCTTCCCGAACCTTAATTAGAAAGAAAAACCAAATTAATCAACAATGGATAACAATCATGAGAAAAAAAGTTTTACTTTGAACACCAACTGTGGCCGAAGCACCTCCATCTGCCACTTGATAATACTTATATGTAACGATATTGGGCGAAGCCTCATTGAATACAATTTGGAAGTGAAAATATCGTGTTGACGAGCTGTAATGCGCCATGTAAAATTCAAAGACCATGTTTCGATTAGGATATGTGCCTGTTGCACCATAATAGACACTTTCAGATGTGCCTGAATATATATACAGATCATCCCAAAGACCAAAAGCTGTTGGCCCACTGAAACTACCACTTGGTAGAGCTGTGTTTGTCCAATCACCAGCGCAACCAGCAAGACAGATTATCTAGAAATGTAAAATAATTTCTACTCTCTAAGAAATCGAGTCATCAAAAGTTTAAACGTTTTCAAACTAATATTAATCATCA